CTGATATTGTATTAGCAACATTACATATTGTAAACCGCTATTGTAACTCAGAATTTTCTAATGCAATGACTGTGCAACGTCTCAAGTTAGATGACTTCAAGATTGAGTTCCTCCTGATGAAAAATTGGCCAAAGGAAAGGTACAATATCGACCACAGCGTGTGGAGCTTCTATAGACTGTGATACTATGGAATCCGGTGATCGAAAAATATACACCTTAGAACTAGAAGCTCGAAGCGTACAGTCTTTTGTACGACTGTAATTAGCATACGTTCAGTGTTGTGGACTCGCAATGCAACTGACTGATAATCTTTCAATTTTATCGTTTCTTCATGGTATATTCTTACTTCACAATTGTCCCAAAGTGCCTCTGAGATTCCAGTCTGACCAAAACTTTTTTCGTGCTGCTTTTATACTTTTATCAATCACCATGTTTTAAACTATAAGGTAAATATCATTTACCTGCTAGCATATGAGTTGGTAATTATGTTATTAAAGATAAGAGTTACACAAATTAATATGGCGGGCAGAATACATGACAATCTATGAGTGGGGTGATGGTTAGTGTGATATCACACTGGTTGACAATGTCATATTTATACAATACATTACTTATAACATCGTTTAAACGCCGGTTTATTACGTGTAATGCCAGAGTGGACAGACGCCGCATTGTTTATACTAACCACCCGATCCGATTAAATATGATGTTGTTAGAGGGTCCGGTCGCCGGTGACATCCCCTCAAATTACACTCACAATGCCACACCTGAGCAACTAAATCATCTGAGTCGTGTTCAGTCAGTTCGCCTAGAACGGCATTTCTCGACCAATTAGAATGTGTCTTATTAGATAATGGCATGTGACGCGAGTTACTGATCTTGTGAGGATTGGCAATGATTTGCAAAGATAGTAGCTGGCCAAAAAGTTAGATGCGATGTCATCGTCGACCTAAGCCTCAACAATGGTGACTGAAACATTTGTCATTTTCAATGACAAGTCTCCGTGCAGTATTTAATGACTGTTAACATTAGTGCCAAATAATTATTCACATACACATAAAACACGGTACAAACCGGAGAGGGCACTTTATTTGTATGATTCCTTCCTTTATTTTTCCTATGACATGTGTGCGTGATGTTACAATGAAATCGACCCAGGCATATCTGAGATACGTGAGAGGACGGCGCACGCATGGACTACCGGAAGTGAAATTATAAGTCCCCGTTTTCGGATTACGTTCGAATAAGGACTAATGGAAGATGGCTTTGTTATGGTCTTACTATAGAAAGGTTAGTAAGACACGAGGAAAAACCAGCTTGAGTTCAATGGCCAAGTACAGCATATAATCGTATTGCACATTTTTGTTGTCAATACATTTGTCAATAAAATCTTCATTATCACTTGAATACACAAAAATATAATGAATCTATAGCTAGATCAGAGGAAAATGCAAACTAATCATGTGGCAGTATGTATATTGTTCCTATTCGTACCATCGCTATCTTATCGCAAACACGTAGAATGGAAAAATCCCATCAACGCCTGTGTGCGTGGTTAATATCAACTCTGTTACTAAATCATCTTTCAGCTGACCCCCTAACCTCACAAATATTATTCGTATGTCTATACGAATCATTCATTTCATGAACGTTTGCTGTCATATATATTGAAATCATTTATAAGATTGTATGCAGTGTTTATTGTTGCCATAAATAATAATTGTGATAGGTTCGTATACGGTTTGAAACTCGTGTCCCCGGGTGTTGTAAAAAATTACCCCGCTCGATAAAATACTGATAACAGGTGTGAATTCAATGATTGCAGTACTTTCCTGGGTTTAACCGTTTTAAATATTCCGAGAGTCATTGTAACAAAAATGTGGCCTCATGGCTTGACACATTGTCATTTCACTGTCCTGTATCAAGTAATAACCGAATATTCCATTATTGCACATAAATATCATGTACATTTGTTGAAATAATCAACGAACTACGACATAGTTAATCGACAATAACCATAAAATGTTATAAAAGCACAGAAGTTTTAGCAGTACTTGGTTCAGGAACCTGAACTCATTCATTTTCTGTCAGACCACCTAAACTATGTAACACCGAGCCATATACTACTACTGAAGCATTTAATAATCAACGAGGGACTAATCTGCCAATCTAGGACAAATATTGGTTATTATTTGAAAGATTATCACACAACACCTTACAGGTCAGAGTTCACATCTTTCAAGTTGGCAGTGTGCGTGTTGCGGACGACATGACATTGACCATGGCGAAGTAGATTTGTACATTTCCAGTATACAGAATTCATTGATTCAATAACATTTTATCATGAGGACTTTGACACAGCATGTAGATTCGTTCTTTGAGCATGGAGAGCTATATTCAGTTTATATACAACATCTGTTCATATATACAATATTACAATATTACCTCAAGACTGGTTTTGACATATATATATATATATTCATTGATATTTACAACCTGTGGCGACACCCCAAATACCCACATAACCAATCACGGTGATTGTATGTATTTAGTGTAAATGGAAATTTCCACTGATATCTCAGATTGAATATCATTGTTGTATTATTTATTATTTGTTAAAACAGCTATTTATGAATATCGTTTTCATGCTGGGAGTAGTAAAGTAGAAGCTGTCATAAAAAAACTTATTTCAATAGAATTAAAACGTCTCATTGTAACACGTGTACACGCCTCTATATCAATGTGCCTTGGTTTGTCATGTTAAATGAATTACACGCGGCACATAACTGATATCTTAAGATTCACACAATAACTAACTCACTAATTAATTTACTAATTATTTAAGTAATTAGTCCTACTATACTCATGCCCCTCGCCATGCCAGTAATAATCAGCATAGCGACAACTCAGTTCACTCCTTTTGCTATGACTTTGTAACGAGGCCTTATTTGAAAGCATCAACTACCTCCCCTGTTTCATAGACCATACGGACCCCTAACGCATCACCTACCTCCTCCGTTTTTATAGACCATATATGGAAATCTCCAGATATTACCAATACCAACAGCATAACCAATACAAGCTAATATAAAATCTGCTTTACTGTCCCATCCTCCCCTATCGGGGTCTCGGTCGTCAATTTCGTCTTCTTTATCCTTTTCTCCTAGTTCACTGTCTTTATCTGTTTCCGATATGTTACCGTCTATGTGATTATCAGTATTCTGAACATCACCATCTGTGAACATGTTGTAATTCGTTTCCTCAATGTCTCCTTCCTCCTTAGGAATCTTCCCATTTACAATTGATATTTCACCTTTAGCCATGGTGTGGGATTCTCGGGTTTAGACGAAGGTTCGATGTGCTCTGCTCACTTGATCAATGCGTTCGAGGATAAAGATAATTATTAAATCCTAAGACGGTGGTAAATGCTGAAGATATTATAGCAATATATACATTAGAGCAAAAACAAAATACTCAACTCGGTGTCGATAGCAGAGTGATGGTAGGACGACTCTCAACTCGGTAAGCGATGTAGATAGCAGAGTGATGATAGGACGACAATTATCAATGTGTCTGTGACTAAATGTGAGCATGAGAACCCCGCCATTATTTCCAGCTTCCTCATTGGTTGTGTGTTTTTGGGTCATTCCACTTAAATCAGATAAGAACAATGAAGATATGGGCATTGATGGGACGGTAATGAAACGTATGTTATTATGATTGATAACAGTGAAAAGAATAAAACGAAAGATAAATAACAATCACAATATTGAGTTTGAAGAAATACTCTCTAATAAAATGTCTTTTGTTCTCAGAGTACTTTTCGCACATAAATATGAATAGTATCTGTGTTAACATCTATAGAGGCACGGTCAGATAGTGTAGTTAATAAGTAACGTGGGCAAGAGACTGGATTAAATACTCAGTCATCGATGGGTAATATATCATATGAAAATGATGCATATAGACACATACTTTGGCGAGTGGTTCGTCGAAAGGTTTGAATTATTTATTTATGTTTATTAAATATATATATATATATATAAATTGTGACAGTGATTTAGTTAAATACTACAATGAGTTATAATTCAATTGTGTCAACATCTATTACGAAGTATCAGCGCCAAGCGTGTTTGAAAATTACATACAATGTGTCTACTCGCAAAGACCACTGAATCAATAATAATTGTTAAGCTGTGACGTAGCATACTTTGGAAATGTCAGCTGTACTTGGAAGCCCCGAAGATGTCATGGTATAAAACGACCTTGCAAGACAGTGGTACATTGTTGCTATGAGTGCACACCGATAAGAGCACGTACTACTTGTCTGTCATTATGATATACTAGTATTCAGAGTGGAAATTTCCTTTACTATAGTCCATTGAAGATAGCCAATCGCCATTTCTCCAGGTGTGTACATACAAAGGTTACGAGGTCATCACAGTCACCATAGTCTGGTTCTTATATTAAAATATATACAACGTTTGTAGGATATGATACTCCAAACGATGAAACACATCCAGCGATTTTGTTTTTTTGTTTTCGTTTTTTTTTTTGAATTTAAAAAGTGTTATTATTTTATACCGAGTAAAACATAATTATATACACATACTATATATATTATGCAATATGTTAGTATACATGTTCTTTCGTTTTTAATTTTTCCGATTTTATTTTGTCGTTCGAAAACTGGGACAGCGTATTTCCCTTCAACAATGTTGCTAATATTACAAGAACGTTATCTCCACTCGAAGATCAACTAGAGTCAGTGCGGCATCCATGACAAAACTACAACAAATACATTTAAGGCAAACTTGTCACGTGGGAAGTAGTTTCTACAGTTATTACACAGCAGTATTATGTATTTGTAGAAGTATGAGTAAATATGAATGCAATACTACCTGCTTTACAACAGTGCTGCATACCTACATCAGGCTGCGTGATTGTATATATCCAAAGACTTTGGTAGTTTGACTCGAAAAAGATGTCTGCATTTACCGTTCTTTGGACCAGAACTCCGTCATTTGTTTTTCCGAAAATGTTGTAGCAAGAATTTTTAATTCCACATTGTCATTGTCATTGTTATGTACTCACACAAGTCATGGTCCATACATTATGATAATAATTATGTCTAAACATGGCGTTATAAAATTTGAGGGGTCGTTCTTTTCGTTCGTTCACATCCTAATAAAACGTTTATCTTGACTATCAATATATTATTTGACCTAGCTGAAATAACGTCGCTATATTTACCTGCCGGGAATACTGCAAAAAAGTGTTTTCGCTGAGAATGATGATGTTTCTTCGAAAATGTCACACTTTTGGAACTATGAAAACCAATTCAGATCAAACATTTTCAGATGTACACACATACACGGTTGCTAAACTGTGACACAGGTACCCATGGCGACCGTCAAATAGGCACGGTACAACCCTCCCAGGGGGCACTCAATGCAAATCATATTACGGGGGCGTGTCGCCCTTTGGGTAGTAATTTTTAGTTTGGTCTTGATGGGGTAAAGATTTACTTGCCTTTACGTCCAATATCAGGTTTGCCTGTCTAGGATGGGACCGGAAATGGGGGTGTGTTTTTTTTGTACGTTTATTGATGAGACCGGGTGATGAGTAGATTCAAGTGACAATTTAGTGACAATTTGGTCTCTGATGGAATATACAAAATCACTATTTGGTCTATAATGGGGTATGGTTTTTGAGGTGGAAATGGTTTACACTCTTACCAAACTGAAAGGCCAGTGGCCCCCCCCCCCAGTGTACAACCAGTTATCCACGGAACATACATGTATTATAGTCTGTGTAAACATTGTGTATAAATCTAAAGAAACGAGTTTGGTACACAAAATGAACGGTCAGCAGTCAAACATTTGGTTCAAACTAGTTAGCCACCAAACAGTTCCATAGCCCTGGGTGGAGATGTTTGAGTTGGCAGCGGCGATTTAATGTAAATAACGCTCACTCAAGAAACGCCCTGGCCACTTTCAGTATTTTTCTGAAATGTTTTACTGCGAAATATTCTTTGTGTCTGAATACAAAATATCCAAACTTAGCGTATGGTGCAAAACCTGGCCAGTGTTTACATTAGAACAATTGGGGTATCTACTGCGTTTAATTTTTTTTCTGAATCATGAATTTAATTGCATTTATTTTCCCAATTTGCAATTGAAAATAGTCACCAGAGTAGGACGCTATGAAAGAAATCACTAAGGGTTATTTCTATGGAAACAAGTTCTGGTACCCCTACTCCTGTTTCCGTATTAATTTACATGTTGCCGTATTCAATGGACAAAATATGTTCTTAATGTACAGACCAATAAAATAATTTACGAAGAAGAAACACTCACACTCAGTGTTACCGATTCATTCGGTTCTAATCTTAAATTTCAACTTTGGCAATTAAGTCATAACATGCGACGAAGTTAATTGACCGGTATTAAAAGTTGATTTTCGAATTTATCACAGAGGAATGATTCTTTAATATTTTGTACCGGTTTATATTCATATCATGAACAAACACTTCGATGTTCACTAATTTGCATACTAACAAATGGTGACGGCTTTCCAATATACATAGATATAGCAGATACACTGTAGTTAAAGCGCGGTAGTCGTCGCACTGCGCATGTGCGACATTTATGTTGATAAACATTGATTTTCCCACAATCCAATGCACTCTTCAAATGGAAATCACAAGTATGAGGTTTGACCTGGGCGCGACCTGCACTGATTACCGCCGGTGACTCCTTCGATACATTCCAATCACATGAAAATTACCTAATTAAAGCTTGGAAACGTGTCAGTTCGTACTCCTTGATCTGCGCAACAGTCAAAGTCGCCATCTTTGTTTATATGAGTCCCATATATCTCGCACATGCACAGCTCTTTAATTAAACGCGCTGTCCGGACAAGCATTTCCGTTATTGTTTATCAAACGGTTCTACCGTGCCGTGATTGGTTTGATTTACCGTAACATCATTTGGTTGGCTACACTAGCTTTGCCTGAATTATGAAAAAGACAAGAATTTGGTTCTAATAAGACCATTTCTAAGCCATATAATTTATGTACGCGACACTACAATTACTGACCACAAACACGTGAAAGAAAATAAAGAAATTATTTATATATAAAGAATGAGAAATGCACTTGATGACATTTGTATAAAATCTATGTCAGATATGATCAGAGTATAATAAATAATCATATGGTTATATTTTTAATAAAATTATGATAGATCCAGATGTGTTCAATGAGTTGTAGCGGTGGTCACCATGAATCATAAGTGTTACTTTCAGCGCTACTATATTACAATGACTTCGTTTAACATTAATGCGAACTTCTTTATTCCACATGAACGCAACTCCCAACTAATGAATATAATATTCGAGTTATATATTCTAACGCATGTCGCTCTTAATTATGTTGACAAATCAATTGCTTACACTTAATATTATTAACCTTTGTTAGTGTGTATGCTGATCCCAGTTATATTCCGACAAAAACAATAAGCATAATCGAATATCACCAAAATTATGCAATTTAGATACTAGTACGTTTTATTTATTCACCTGGAAGCGCTCACAAGAGCTAACGGGATGAAAGTAACCATCAATCTGTGGAAAATGAGACGCTCTTGTAATACTATAACGTGCACTGTATCCGTTGCGTGCACCCCTTCCCCTCCCCGTCCGTCCGATTTTTTAATGCACAATATTTTTTTAAAGGCGGACTAATTTGTATCACCAGCAAGGCTGGGAGTCCCAGAAAAACTGTTCACTTTGTCATGGAATAAAGATGAACCCCGCGGTTTATAATGGTAAAGGCACGGGGCGCGGCACTAACGAAAAAACAACTTTCTCGCCATGAAAGTGGTGGACTAATGTGAGCCGCGCCCCACGAACGCATCACTCTACAAGTCAAAAAAGTGACGTCTGACTGTTGCTATGGTAAACGGCGCTCGGAAGTCTCACTTGGGCCTGTGGATGACGCCGACCAAGCGCCGACACAGTCCCCTAAATGTCATACAAAGCCTGCCGCTGGACATGATGTGGTTTCACCGATTTCCAACAGAGAAAACATTTCCAACACAATGTTTTGATCTTAATGATCTTAATATTCTTATATTAAGATCATTAAAAATATTAGGTGTTAGGTTAAGATTAAAGTTAAGACCCTCAATGCTATTGGGGTAGAACATTATATATGCTTAATATCAAAGACCATTTCCGAGGCCATTTCATAACAGATATACTCAACCTTTCGTTTTCATCCAATACAATATTGTCTGAAGCAGTTACGGAAGTGTCTCTG